TGAAGTAGAAGCAGAAAAGGAGAACCTCAGCAAGCAAACATCACCGAAGCAACTGCTGAAGCTTAAGAAAATTTGTATGTGGCCTAAAATGAAATCATAGATGAGGATGACACAAAATGGATCATTGACAGTGGGTGTACATCCCACATGTGCAAGAACGAGTGCATGTTTACCTACTTAAACAAAGCTCTCAAAGACAAAGTGAGGTTGGGAAATGACAAGTTTGAGAATGCAGAAGGTAAGGGCATTGTCTCTGTAAATACTCACTTCGGTACACGGTATATTACAAATGTGCTTTTTGTACCTACATTAAAGTAAAATTTGTTAAGTGTGAATCAGATAACAAATAATGGGTATAAGGTTCTTTTTGAGAGCAAATGTTACAGGATTTATGATCCTGATGGGAAGCAGATCGAGACAACATCAAAGATTAATCATAATTACCTGCTGTGCATGAAGAAGCCAGCACACACGGCCTGTTATGCTAGTGCAAATGACGAAAAAATTTGGCACAGAAGGTTTGGACATTATCATATGTCCGACTTTGAAGAAGTTGCAAATTGAGAACCTAAGTCTCAATCCCCCTACGCTTGGTGAAACCAATACTGTTCACAGTGTATGCCAAATGAGTAAGATGCACAGAACATCATTCCTTGCGCAAGCTAGCACACGGGCAACAAAAAAGCTTCAACTTGTTCACTCTGATATCTGTGGGCCAATGAGCTAAGATTCCTTGAATCGGAGTAGGTATTTCTCCCTTTTTATTGATGATCAGACCCGGATGGCCTGGGTTTACTTTCTCAAAAACAAAGTTGAAGTGTTTGGTAAGTTTAAGAAGTTCAAATCGATTGCAGAAAGGAAAAATGGGTGTTTACTTAAAATGGTAAGAATTGATAATGCCTTGAGTATAATTCACAGGAATTCAGGGATTTTTGTAGCTCTCAAGGGATCAAAAGACAACTTGCTGCCCCCTACTCACTGCAGCAAAACAGTGTTGCAGAAAGGAAGAACAGAACTGTGGTGGAAATGGGGAGATCTCTGATGAATGACAAACACTTGCCCAAACAGTTCTGGGCTGAAGCAGTAAATACATCTGTTTACTTGCTTAATCAGCTGCCCACTCAAGCCCTGGAGAAGATCACGCCATTTGAAGCTTGGCATGGCAATAAGCCCGAGACTACTCTCATCAGGATCTTTGGCTCTGTTTGCTACAGCCTAGTTCTTGATGAAAGAAGAAGAAAGTTAGATGACAAGGGAGAGCCTGAAATTTTTCTAGGCTATAGTACAAAGACAAAGGGGTACCGGGTGTATATGCTGAGCTCCAGAAAATTTATGATCAGGAGAGATGTTGTGATAGATGACGGCTCATACTAGAATTGGGCAGAAGAAAAAATAGAACGTGATGAGGTAGGGAAACTGGTGACAGGAGAAGATGAACCTGTACCAGCTCCATTCCCCTCTGAGTTAGAAAATGATGAGGAAGTTGGAAATGATGGAAGTGCTGATGGAGTTAGGATGAGAAGTCTCTTTGAGATATACGAATCGTGTAATTCTGCCTTCAAAGAACCTGCAACCTATCAAGAGGCAGTTACATATTCCTCTTGAAAGGATGCTATGATGGAGGAAATTGCTATGATCACAAGGAACAAAACTTGGACTTTGGTCCCTAAGCCTGAAGGCAAGAAGATAATTGGTGTCAAGTGGATTTACAGACTCAAGTTGAACCCCGATGGCTCTGTAAATCAGCACAAAGCTAGACTGGTGGTGAAGGGATGTGCCCAGACTGCGGGAATTGACTTTGGGGACACCTTCGCTCCAATTGCAAGACACGAAACCATCATAATGATTCTGGCAGTAGCAGCGTATTCCCAGTGGCAGGTTATGCACCTGGACGTCAAGTTTGCCTTACTAAACGGTGATCTCCAAGAAGAGATTTATGTTGATCAACCGAAAGGATTCACAGTTGAGGGAAAAGATGATCACATTTGTTTGCTACATAAGGCTTTGTATGGCCTTAAGCAAGTTCCACGAGCTTGGTACCAGAAGCTGGACGAATGCCTACTGTGTTGTGGATTTGAAAAGAGTTAGGCAGAAGCAACGTTATATGCAAAACACGATGAAAATGGTAGGAGGCTGATCACCGCCATTTATGTGGATGATATACTGGTGATAGGAAACGATTGATGCAAAATGGAAGAATTCAAAGGACAGCTTGAGGAGATGTTTGAGATGTCTAACCTAGGTGAAGTAACATACTTCTTGGGGATGGAAATAAATGCAAGCTCAGAACGGGATTTTTCTGTCACAAGCAAAGTATGCACGTGAAATCCTTAAAAGGTTTAATTTGATGGAGTGTAAAGCTGTCTCTACTCCGTTAATTCCAAAGCTGAAGTTAATTAAAGATGAAACAGGTGATAATGTGGATGAGGAAAGGTACAGGAGCTTAATTGGGAGCTTGCTGTATCTCACAGTTTCAAGGCCGGATATGTTATTTGCTGTGAGTTTACTGTCACGGTTTATGTCATCTCCAAAACAATCTCACACGGCAGCGGCAAAGCATGTATTGAGGTATCTAAAGGGTACCCAAAATTATGGAATTTTATATGAGACAAAGGGAGAAGGAAGGCTGCTCGGGTATACTGATAGTGACTGGGCAGGGAGTCTCCATGATGCATGCAGCACTTCTAGTTATCTATTTTCATTCGGCTCTGGTGCTTTCTCCTGGGCATCTAAAAAGTAAGAAGTGGCTGCACAATCTACAGTTGAAGCCGAGTATATTGCTGCTGCAGGTGCTGCAAATCAGGCGGTATGGCTGAGGAAAGTAATGCAGGATCTGAAGCTTGATGCGTCTCTGTCAACTGAAATTCAGGTGGATAATAAGTCCGCCATAGCAATCGCTAAGAATCCAGTGATGCATGGTCGAATCAAGCACATTAATGTGAAGTTCCATGCAATTAAAGATGCTGAAAAGAGTGGTGAAATCAAGCTTACTCATTGCTTATTTGATGAGTAACTTGCAGCTATTCTGACAAAACCGCTTGGAAAAGAGAAATTCGAAAAAATGAGAGAGAAGTTAGGAATTGTATGGACTGATTCTAAGGAGGAGTGTTAAATTATTAAAAATTAGTTAAAATTTATTTTTATCAGCTTGTATTTGAATTTTAAATTTCAGTTTTTGAATTTAATTGTAATCGAATATAATAGAATTTGAATTCAATTGCAAGCCTATTACTTGCACGAGAAAATAAGATTTATGGTTGTAAACTGGCTTATTTAAGCCATGCAAATATGAAGTAAAAGGGCAGACCCTTTCCTCCATTGCCTCTTTCAAAAATCATCTAAGCACGAAACATGGGCGTTTGCAGGGTTGCACTCTATTTCGGTGCTCTCTCTCTCTCTTACTTTCTCTCTCTACAAAAGCTACGTAAATAGCTTTTGCATGCAGCAATTTCCTACGTAAAAATATTACAGATTAAGTTATGTTTCGGACTTGCTTATTTATCAAAAAGAAGAACAAAAAAGATTTTTTAAAATTCCTTTGCAAAAAATAAGTGTTAAAGTTGTAAAAAACTAATGATGTAATCATCAAAGTAGCAAAATTGTTTTCTTGTTTAATTATATGGAACCTTGAGGTAGTCAAGTGTCATAAAAGAAACAAGAGGATTTTATTTTGAAATGGACAAAACCATAAGGAATGAAATTCCCCTCTTTTATACATGCCTTTTAATATATGTGCCACTTTTGTCCCTCCCCTTTCTCTTCCTTCTGGGGAAAAAGTTTAAGGTTTTAGATCCTAATTTGCCATATGGCAAGGCAATTGAGAGTCATGGGGGATGCTTTTTCTACAGGTGATTTTTGATGATTAACAGTAATAAATGTCCCTTTTTCTCTCACATATGTCCATAAAATACTTACTTGAGCGATAATTATGGTGTAAATTTTTAAGAAGCAAGATGCTACATCACATTGTAATTGGGTGGTAAGGACAAAAGAGGCATAACAATTAAAAGGTCAATGCAGTACTTACGGTCCCTTCTTCCCAAGAAGAAAACAAAGTTTTGGCAAGTGTCACTCTCTTACTGAATTACTGTTTTCTACATGGATTTTGCAGAGGCTTTTGGAGAGCACTTTCCGACTTGATCTTGAGGCTACAAGAGAGTAAGATGCCTTTTGTGTCCGCTGAGCCAGTAATGGTTATAGTCCTACTAATAATGAATTTCTGCCCTGCTTTGAATTATGACAAAATAATAAATTTTTTGCCCTGCCTTTTGGGTCCACTGACTTGATCTTGTCAGCCACTAAAAGGCTGACAAGTTAGAGCTCTGTGCAATTGTTGCTTCCTAGAGCTGTGGAAGTGACTACTTTTTAGTTGATTTGGCTAAAACACCTATTGGAGTTGTCTTTGTCATTTCCAATCTATGAACGAAATATTGTACCCAATTCTGTGTTTCATGAGCATACAAAGCACATGGAAGTTGATTGCCATTTGGATTTGATGACGTTGTTGCATGGACTCATTTGCAGCAAGTCTATTTGTTTACCAAATTCTTAGGTGGTTCGCTAATAAAGCTTATTTGTAACAAACTTGGAGCATATGACACCTTTACTCCAATTATTGCTTGCCTATATTTGCTCCAATCTGGTCATGTATTCTGGTATTGAATATATTTTTAACCTACCATGTACCGTAAAGCATGAGCAGCTGTACTCCACTAATTAGCTACCTGTATCTGCAGTACTGTTCTAGTTCAAGTCTTCTCTTCGTGTTATAACAGTATGCCTTCACTCTATTTTTTTTCTCATTTAGACAGGCACGGGGATCCCTTGTGTATTTTCACTCTTCACCTTGCAGATTGAACACTTCTTAGGCAAAGTAATATCTTCAATTAGATATTAATTTACTCTTATTAGAAGAATTTCATAGTTCATACTCTTGATTTTACTATATTTATTATTTATTAAATGAGATAACCATCAAGGACAAAATCTAGATTAAATACAAATATTGACATGTCAAACGTAGGCCTAAAAGTGAGAAAAGTTATTAATTTTATATGGGTTAAGCATGCATGGTTTATCAGACTGGATGATAATGATACATTAATGTGAAACTGATATACCAAGCAGATGCCCGGGAGCTTCTGTGACATATGCAATTAAGATATTGTCAACTGACCCTTGTTTAATGCATTTACCTCTTCAGGTTCTCCCTTCTGCTTTTTCATTTTGAATTTTTTTAATTTGTAAATTCTACATAAACAGGTATTGTTTAGCAGATGATCGCATGTTAGAAGCTGTCAAATTTCTAGATCTTGGGGATGGAGCTGGTTGGGAACTACTTCAGGTAAGAGTTAAAATGAGACTTGTTAACTTATAGATGGGGAATTCTAGGGTGACTTAGTTTTACTATATTCTTATTGTATATTTGAAAACCTCACTTTTAGATTTCTTGTGCATTAGTGCATTATTTTTTATCTGATAGCATTAACAAGGTTGAATTTGTTTGAAGCTTTCAAGAGGCTGGAATTTCGGGAACTTGTTTGTGGTCTGTAGTTCAGAAGGCTATTTTAGATCTGAGTTTTACAATTTTTCTGTTATCAATTGACAGTTTGAATGATTTGGTTTCTTCGTAAGTGATCTGTATGACAATAAAATACTACATATGAACAATCAATTAATGACATGCATGCAATCAACATACAACAAATTCATAAAATCTGTAATATGAACTTTCAACAGCTAGGCATTAGTATTGTTATTTTTTGTACTGAGTAATCAGCATTGTTTTTTGGTTCTCAATGTGTCAGATTCTGCATTATTCACCTGCTTCTTTCTAATGGACCTTAAGACCTTATCTTGTAGCCGAGTTCTTGTTAATGGTTGCCAATCTTCTGCTTGTGTAGGCTATGCTAAATCCTGACTTCCGAAAGCGACCAATTGCAGAAGCTGTACTCAATCATCGATTCATGACTGGTGCTGTTCTTTGAGCTTGAAGTACTGAAGGGAAAATACTTTTGTATACATTTGTATCATATGAATACAGTATTTGTTTGCTGTTACATTTTATTTTTATTCGGAGTAGGAGCAAAGATCCACAATAATGAGTGAGATTGAATTGTCTGCAGGATAGAGTTTGAATGTTGTTTGAGCATGAGATTAGAACTTTGTTTTCTTGCGAATCACTTAGTTTATGACTTTAGAATAAAATTAAAGCATATACCTAGACATAATACAAGGAGATAGGTTCGACCATCACAAGTTCTCCCATGTAGAAACTGATCGCACGGTGGTTTTCAGTAAGGATTTGTAATTTCAACCATTTTAAAAACCAACTCATTTATCATGTAGCTATATATGAGCATACCTCTGGCTTGCTACTAGTAGCCTTTAGATCTTTATAAAACTCACACAATTTTCAAAAATTCTTTTCTTTAGAATTTTTATTAAGATTATCTGAGATATTATTAGATAAAGTTGTCTCTTACGTCCTTCGAAAAAAATAAATTTAGATAAGATAAAAATTAAGTTCTTACATATATATATATGTAATTATGTGTGTGTATGTGTGTGAGTTTCAGCCATGAGGGAAAGTTTCCGAGATAATTTTTCAAAGAACTAATGAGCATGATGAAAGAGATGAGGAAGATAATGAAGTACCAACTTAGGGTTTTAATAGAAAAGAAAATCTAGAACTAATTGTTACCTCATAGAGTTATCTAATGGCTTTCATGTGGATTTTTTAATGAAGACTTGCTTCGAATATATGAATTATAATTTAAAATCTAGGCTAGTTACAAAATATGAAATCTTAAAATGTTTATGATTCAAGTGCATGATTGTTTGATCTAATTTATATAATAATTGTTTTAGTACAACATAACATATAGTAAATTTACATAAAATAAAAGTAAAAATTAATTTTAGAGCATGAAGGACAGCAGAATATCCATTGTTGAACTAAAATTTGTTGATTGGTTTATATGATAATTTAATATAGAATTTTAAAAATTTATTGAGACTGATAATTTAAATTTAGATATGCTTGATTCAAATGTAAAATAATAATAATAATAATAATAATCTTATAACAATGACAATAATACTCTTATAACTAACTAACACATAATTTTAATAGAATCTTATAACTCACATTATAATAATAATAATATGAGTTTGAGTGAAAGATACAAAGGGAAAATAATAATAATAATAAAAAAAAAGCTTATAATATAGTCATCGTATTATTATTATTATTATTGTCGTTATTATTATAATAATAGGACAATCTTTTTTTTTTTGTTTTGAAATGAAAAGGACATTAATTTAATTATGATTGAGCACACAATATAGTAACACACAGGGGAAAGTCTTTCTAGACGTGGAAAACTTAAAATTCCCACGAGGTTTTCGCTATGCTATGGGCTACAACATTACATTTCTTTTTTACCCAACCTATAGAAATATCAATACGTAGAGCAAGGAGGGTTTTATAGTCCTCCACAATCGGCTCAAATTTTGAGTGGTCTGCTTCTTTCTCTGCAAGAGCTCTTTGAATCTGTAGTGCATCTATCTCAATAACACTTGGGCCAGAGAGATTTGTTACAAGGTAGTTTAAGGTTTCCTTGCAAGCTAAAAGCTCTACAAGATAAGGCGAGCGACTCCCTGTCAGAATCCCAAAAAATGCTGCAATCACTTTGCTAGAAGAGTCCCATGTAATTGCACCAGAGCCTTCGACTCCCTCCGAAATGAATACGGTACCATCAACGTTAGACTTCAAAGTACCCAAGGGTGGTGTTGTCCATTTCTTTGTGTCCGTATAGGGGGATGGTATTGGCCCCCACACTCTCTCGAATCTCTTTGAGCTTGTCGCTAATCATTTAAGAACTTTTTAGCCAGAAGATAAATCTTCACAATTGCAGATGCTTGCCCTTCTTAGAATAAGTCATTACACTCCACCCATAGTCTCCATACACAACAAACAACCAATGCAACCTTAGGTTTCGGAAAAAGGGTGATAATTTCCTGTATCCAACTAGTCATATCAGCTTCCCTTCCTCCACGAACTTGGCATCCAAGGGGTATTTTTCATAAACGAGCTCGTTTTGTACGTGAGGAAAATGCAACCAATAATTTGATTCAATGTTCAAGGAATGCTGGTCTTAGGGGGGACTCTGCAACCACTAGGTGTGATCTCA